TGAAGTTACTTAGGACCTTCACGTTTTTTTTTTTTTTCTAACATTCTTATAGAAACAAAGATCAAAAAGGGCACTAAGCTATAACAATCAAATCAAATGAACCCGCCTTGGCAAAGGCCAGTATGCCGCCAACACTCAGGAGGGCCCTGTCTCCGACTGTCTTTCAGGGAAGTTCCCCTGGCCAACACGTTCCGCATTCAGCATTCCTTGGCCTAAAAAGGAATTTCTCAGGGCTGGCAAGTTGGGTTAGATTCTAAGAGAATGTTGTCTTTGACAAACTACCATTTTTAGCATAAAATCTGGCCATGGCTATGTTTCAATGTACGTATGATGAGTGATTAGAGATGTTTTGTTTTTGTTTTTTCCTTTGTTTTCCCTTTCCACATTGGCTGGAATCGAGTAGAAATACGTCCATGATGCATTTTCACGTGTGTCATGAAATATGAGAAATCTGTCTGACTCTAAACAATATTTCTTTCCGACACAATGGGCAGGTCTCCAGTTGCAAGGCACAGTCCATGCATAGGTCACTGCGGAGAAGAAGACGGAAATGCCAGTAAGTTAACGTTTTGAAGGTTCAGATCCCGATGCCCTTCCAGCTCCATTTAACATGCTAGCATGTTTGTTACCTGGAAGGGTAGGTAATTACACAAGGCCAACAAATGAGATCAAGTAAATAAACAACGAATCTCTCATTTCAGACCCTTAATCCTCCTCCCCAGAAGTAACAAGTTAAAAGTTCTTGGCATTTCCCCAGAAAAATCTGTAGGTATACATCATATATAAATAAGGGGGTAGTTCATGGGGGAAAAAATGGAATTGAAAGAGACTTTTTCCACACAATTTTTGAAGTCTCTTTGTATAAAGAGATGTGTGTATGTAGGTGGGATACAATGCTATTTTCCCCCAAACCACTAGCCATTTGTCCTGATAGCATTCCCTGAACAGTTCATCTATATAGTATGTCACAGGATTGATCTGTTTTATTACTTTCCTTTTTCAGAATTTTCTTGCCTTAGTGTAAGGTGACCAGACGCCCCGCTTTTGAACAATTTTTCCCGCGTCCTGCAGCGTTTTTAAAAAGTCCTGATTTTTTGAAAGAATGCACGACAAGCTAGGGTATACGGTTTTTGGCTGCCATGTGGCTATTTCGCAAGGATATGAGTTTTATCAATGGTGTCCCGCTTTACCAATGTTAAAATCTGGTCACCTTACCTTAGTGCCACGTAAGCTTTGTGTTACTCTAAAAAAAAAGGAATTAATTGGGATATATATATATATATATATATATATATATATACACACACACACATACATACATATACATATATCATTCCAGAGTTCAATCACAAAGTGTTACTTTTTAAATTGTGAATTAAATGGGGTTAGTACCACATAAACACATCTACTTCCAGGGGAAAACAAGACGTGTTGCTTTACTTGTATGTTGCTGTTAGGTGCTGTTGTGCTGCCTCTTTTACATGGGTCAAATTACACTGAAGGCTGCAGACCACCTTCACGCCCCCGAGGCTGTCCTATCTAAGTAACAGACCCACTTCTTCAAGCCCCTGGGTAGTTTTTAGGGTTTCTTCCCGTGTTGTTGCTGTGAGGTGTCAAGTTGGTTGTGACTCGTAGCACCCCCTGGGACAGAGTAGACCTGCCCGTGGCATCTCTACGGCTGTCAATTTTATGGGAGCAAGTTGCCAGCTCTGTTCTCTTGTGGAGCTGCAGGTGGGTACGATCCACCGACCTTTTGATAGCAGCAGTGTACTTAACCACCATGCTACGTGGGCGACGACTTTTTCTTCTGTGTTCCTTGGTATGCACTCTTGACCCGATGCCCAACAGGATGAAACAAGGCCAGGTCCTGGCCATCCTCACAAGCGTTGCTATAGCTAAGGCCACTGTTGCACTTGCAGTCTTGTCTTTTTCAAAGACACAAGTCATCGTGGCACAGGAATCTCCCGTTATGCTTTCTAATTGGTCGCTGCAGCAGAGAGGAGCTTCCTTTTCCCTCCCTCACTGTATTTTCTATTATGCTTTCCGTCACTTCCCCAGGGGTGCAGGCACTCAGCCTCTCATCTCAGAGCAAGGGTTGTGCCGCTCTCCTTTCTGGTAGCCCGCTGACTCTCCTCGCTTGTAGCTTGCCCAGTGGAGGTCACAGCGGGGGCAGTGGGCATCGTCCTTGTCTTGCCCCCACATCTCTTGGGAACTGCTGGTGTGGCGTGCATGGTTGAGGCACATGCTTTCGCTCTTTTTCGGGGAGTATCCATCAATTCCTGCTTCAGTTTTCCCCCCTCCACCCACTCCTGTTCTGCGCTAGTCCATCGTTAGAAGTGGACACGGAATGTTAAAACTTCTCGGGATTCTGAGAGATGAAAATGTCACTCCCTTGGCTACCTGAGCAAACAATATGGACCGATTTTCTGTCTTATGCCACCCTTATATTCTTGAGGTAAGCTGGGTTCGATTTGCTACATTTTATCTAGGATTTTTAGATTTGTTTTCATACGTAAAAATGACCCATAGCTTTCTTTCTGCATATATGTATAAGGGGGCTTCAAATAGTCTGTGGAAAAATATAATTAAAAGATAATTGAATTTCCTTTTGTGGGGGGGGGAATAATAGAATTTTTCCAAGAACTCTTTGGAGCTCCCTCATCTGTTGTCTGCACCAGCGTTTGGTATTTATGTTCCAATCAGGTTCTGAAAAGTGAATAAAGTGTACAGGGGTTTCCTTGTTTTCTCTAGGGTCTGGAGAAGTTTAAACAGACCGAGACTACCTGTTCCCTGGCTGGTCCTGAGAAGCCGTTGGAGAAACCCTCTGGCCTTGAGGCTTCTGGAGAGAAGGCATCGAGGGCAGAGCTTTCTAATCGATCGCCTTACGTTATTCTCTGGTGAAAGCATTCGTAGATTGCTTTGGTCTCTTCAGGTTCTCATCATTCAACTTTCTTTGGATTTCCTTTCTCCCCTCCCATTTCTGAGAACGGTGTTTGAAGCTGGGCTAAGCGTTCCTGTTTGTGCCCCTCTCAGCTCTGTCTGCGGAACTCTACCCCGGAGACTGGGGTGATACCCAAGCGGGCTCTGGGTTTTCACCTTTCCAAGCTTAGTCAGGAGCCTTTGTGTTTGAGATGCTAGGAAGGAGCAGTTTGTGAATAAGACCAGGTGAAGTTACTTAGGACCTTCACGTTTTTTTTTTTTATCCTAACATTCTTATAGAAACAAAGATCAAAAAGGGCACTAAGCTATCCCACCCTTATCTCTGTATCTACCTTTGACAGCTGTGACAGCTACAGCCCCCAAAGGTGCCCGAACTGAACAATTCTGGGCTGCCAGGTTGATGTCCAGGAAGGCTCACAGCGGGGGCAGCTGGAGCCATGGTGCCTTTCTTCCAGAATACTGCTACCCTTCCCTTACCAGCTAGCCATCAGGTCACCACCCATCTCAGTGGACAGGAACGGAGACGAGCTGGGCCCTCGTTGCAGGCTGGGCACCTGACAGCCACAGCAATGTCACACACAAGAGCAAGAAAGGGCGCAGAAGGTATGAATGAACAGTCAGCACGACTGCCATGTCCCCCACTGCCTGCATCCTCTTCCCTCTTGTGGCCTCACTGGTGGTCCTGGCCAAGGCCATCTCACTCATGCTCGTGCTGAGATGGCCGTGTGCCCCTCTGGGATCCAGCTCACTCTGGGAGTAGATCTCCGCTCAAATCTGGTTAGATGGCGGGGCAGAGACTGCTGCCCTCCTCGGGTTGCAATTGCAAACAGAAAGTCAAAGAGGAGGCTCTAAAACCCAGAGAGAACGCCCAGAGGCTCATTAATAGCTTTAAACTTATAACATTTTATAAAGTGGAAATTGCATTAAAAACACAAAACCATAGGCCTCCCTACCAAGCAGCTTTGCGGGTTTCCGGTGCTTTCTGGGAGTCAGCGTGCACCAGCGACCCCAGCTGGGTTCAGCCCACTCTACATGTGCTGAAGCCTGATCAGTAGTGAACAGGACGAACATCTGCCTGACACACAAAGCTGGGGCAGTCAGACTGCTCCCTTACCTGTGTCCACACGGCTTCAGCTGTGTGTCTGCCACCTCATCACAGCACAGGGAGCAGCAGTTTTCCCGGATGCTGACCTGCTTCAGCAGAGCCAGACGCCTGTGCCTGCGTGGGAAAGGCAGCATGAGACCTGGTTTGTAGTGATGCACACAGATGTGACCACCGTGTGCACATCAGGCAACAAGGGGGACGCGTTTGTTAAAAAACTCCCTTACCTTTTAATCCCAAGGTAAACCCAGGTCACCTTGTTGCAAAATAATAGGTTTGCTCAAAAAATACTCTCATCCAAAATGTTGTATTCCTTTGAAAACCACCTATCTGAGACCAAATGGTCAATGATAATTTTAAAACAAAGATGAGCGGGTATGGGGGCAGGCAGACTGGACTGATGAACAACCAAAGGTGAAGGGGAGACGAGTAGAAAGAAAAGCAAACGAAATGACTGGAAGGGGAAGCATTCGAGACAGTGTAGACACAACCCCAGATCGCAGCAGGCCTGAGAGCTGCTCCCCAGGACCCAGAAGCTGCTGCGTTTTGGACAAAGAACCTGCGAGCGTGCCTCACTGACTGCGAGCAGAAGCCTAGGCGGTGTCAACAGAAGACGCTCGCTGCTCACCACACAGAGGGCTTGCTGTTTGATATCTATTCAGTAATGCAACTTTGTGTGTGTGTGTGTGGGGGGGGGGGTGAGGGTGCCCAAAGAAGTGTCTTGGAAGAGAGGCCTGGTAATTTACTTCCCACAGCCCCAGACATCGAAAACCACACAGAGCCCACTTCTACCTTGACACATGTGGATGGTCACAAGGAGTGGGGGCCATTGCCGGCAACTGGTGGTGGGATATGAGCTATTGGAACATGCTAGAATTAGTGGCACAGACGGGAATTCAGAGTTTATGCCCCAGGTTGTAAGGAAGAGCAGCTGGGATGTGGCGGGAGGGGAGGTGGTGTCAACAGGTGGTGAGCACGAAGGGGCTCCTGACAGCTCCCGTGGAGTCAGTGTCGGACAAGCCAGTGGGTTTGAGAGAGTCTTGTTCCCCAGGCAGGCTGCAGATTGCTTTGTTCACCACAAGAGCAAAAGGAAGACACTGAGAGTTGAGGGCCACTGCATGCTGTTTTAACTAAGGCCGGTCTCTGGGGCACTTTCAGAATCCTTAGCCATGCCTTTCAGTGTGTATGTGAGAGGACCTGCTTATTTCCGAGAGAAGGCAGACTAGGTAACAGATGGCAGGGGAATGACATCGAAGAGGAATGTGTCACCTCAGGCTTCCACCAAGAGGAATGTCAATTTCAGTGGCTGTCAGGCACCAAGACAAGCTGAGTGGAAGTTCTGGGAGTGAACCTTAGTATACGTGGTGCTTGTTCTTGGGGTATTACTGAGGTTCTGCTGCTGCAGTCAAAGTTGTTGCCACCACGGGACATTTTCTAGTAAAATCTGGAAACTACTGAATTGCTCTCAAGCCTCAAATTCAAGGGGAAGGCCAGATCAGAGTGGCTGTTTCTAGAGCTTTTGAGCCATAAAGGAACTAGAATTATATCATTATCCAATAGATAACCTTTAGACCAGGCGTCCTCAAAGTACGGTCCGCGGGCCACATGCCGAGGACATTTATTCAGCCCACCAGGTGTGTTTGCCCCATTTGTTTTTATACTTCAAAATAAGATATGTGCAGTGTGCATAGGAATTTGTTCAGTTTTTTTAAAACTATAGTCCGGCCCTCCAATGGGTCTGAGGGACAGTGAACTGGCCCTGTTTAAAAGTTTGAGGACCCTGCTCTAGCTTGAGGTTTGATGATCCAACACTGACTCTCCTTGAGTGCCGAGACACTCACTGAGAACACCTTTGGCGCTACTCATAGGAAGACCCTTCTTCACACACACACACACACACACACACACACACACACACACACACACACACGCCCCGCTGCGGCGGCTCTATAAACAAGTGAGACCGTTTGGCTCCCATAAAGGAACTAGCTTCACCATAGAGTGATTGTCAGGAAGCAGCTGGAGTCCCTCCCTAGCTCACTGCACGGGGTGCACACTTGGTCTAAGGAACACTGGTTTCTAAGAAAATTGGTTTGCATTTCTTTTTTTTAATACTCAAGGTATTTGTCTCATAAAAAGAATTCGGAATTTCCTTTCTTTCTGGAGGAGAGCCCTGGGGGTGTAGTGGTTAGGAGTTGGGCTGATAACTGCACGGTCAGCAGTTTGAAACCACCAGCTGCTCTGGGGGAAAGACAATGCTTTCTACTCCTGTAAACAGTGAAGTTATCACTTAGATTTGGTCAGAAATACTCAGCAAAGCCACCTAAGCCTGGTGCTTTTGAGGACACAAGTCTCACTTTGTATTTTATTTTTTGCAATTAATCTTACCATAAGAATTCATTTGCTCTGATCTCTTTTGGGATCTGTTCCAGTAATTTCTATTTCCTAGGAAGCTACTATCCATTTTACTCAGGTTCTCGAAATTCTGAGTTTGAGTTCCCTTGAATGAGTGTGCACATCTGGAGAAGCTAGACAGACCCCTTACCTTGGCAATATTATTTTTTCTTCAGCTGTTAGGAAGGCGTAGTCATTAAAAGTGCTAAACTTCATAGCTGGTGGGTGTTTGAATGGTTTTGCTCCAAAATTGAACTCACATTGTTGATATGACATAAAACTCGCTGCGGCAAAAAACCCGGATCTACAAATGAAAACGAGGACACAGTTTACACGCAAAAATGTCCCAGCGGAAAGGAGAAGTGACAGAAATTCTGTTACCTAACCCAGACAGGCTGTGTACCAGAAGATCTGGCTCTTAGCATCCTGTATCCAACTTGGGGACAGCTGGAGCTATGATCCACTCCACTCCCCACCCCCCACCCGCCCGCCTTCAAATAAATTGACCTCCCATTATAATTGGCTGCATAAATAAAGATTCCCCCTACCCCTCCTTGAAAAAAAAAGTGCATTCTATTCATGTACCCAACTCTTTCACCGGGAAGAGCTACTTACATAGTAGATGAAAAAACTTGTTTCTCGGGAGGCAGCTGGTTGCCGTTTAGAAAGAAGATCATTTGCTTTTCATTCAAGTCTAACAGAAATCCTACTGTGTCTCCTAGGGGAGGAAGGAACACTGTGAGGGGCAGGGCTGAGAGCTCAGCTGCTCCAAGCGCTGTCCTGGGTCCCCTTCTCTGGCCCCCGCACACAACTGCTGCATCTTCCCTGTTTCTTGGACCCACTCGACACACCAAGATTTTAAGGTGCCATTAAGGAAACAAGGCTGCTAAATACACCGGGCTAAGTCATCCACTGTCAGAGGCAAAGAAATTACACATCAACATCAAAGATATTAAAAGGTGTGGTAGGGTGATGAAACGTGCATTTAGGGTTCAATGAAATAGGATGAAGATCAAAATCATGCGATTCTTGGCCGCTCTGGTAAAGCTCCATTGAAACTGACTCAATGGCTATAAATAAAGTTGACAACTGTTCAAAACAAACAAAGCATTAAAAAAATAATGACATTTCAGGGTTTTGCTTTTCCGCAGTCATGGTGAGGACAGTGACCCTAAAGGAGGAGTCTCACTTGTAAAGGGCCACCCTGAGTAGTGGGAGCACTAGAACTGACGGCGATTACACAACTCATCGTAAAAGTGATTTAACCATGGGGGTAAGAAAAGAAAGTGTTCTAAAATTGATTGCGGTATTGCTTGTACAACCCTTCTTGATATGACTGAGTTGTGTGACGTGTGGATTAAGTGCCAATACCACTATGTTAAAAGAAGAAAGAAGATTTAAGCCCTGAGAAGATCCAGTGGCTTATGATAAAGGCAAACATGGCACTGTCAGTGGCACTGAGATAAATGTGCCATGGGACTGGGATATTGGGGAGCCATTGAAAAGAACTTTCTGTACTAAACTAGAAAGCCTACCACAGTATATAAATGAAATAATAACCAAAATATACGCCAAATTTTAAATGCTTTTTGGAAATCTCTCAATGGAGAGATTATAGGTGATTTTAAGTGTATCCATTTTGCTCCCCACCCCATTTTAAATAATAAGCCCTTATTAATAGTTTCAGTATGAAAACAAAGCCCTCACTGCCATCAAGTTGATTCCGACTCTCGGTAACCCTACAGGACAGAGCAGAACTGCCCCAGCTGGTGTCCGAGACTAACTCTTTACAGGAGTGGGAAAGCCCGTTTGTCTCCCACAGACTGGCTTGTGGCTTCAAACTCCTAACCTTGAAGTTAGCCGCCCCAACAGTAACCACTGTATGCCAGCAGGACTCCTGTTTCAGTAATAGCTTTAAAAATTCTGATTAAAATAAAACAAACTGGTTAATAATTTTCAAAGACAACACCTCTCTCTTAACCCAAGCCCAAACCTACTGTTGACATCCATTCTCACTCAAACTGTCACACAGGGTTTCCCAAGCTTTAACATTGTTATGGAAGCAGACTGCCACATTTTGCATGGAGAGGCCGACCACAAACCACGAACCTTGAGATTAGTAGGCACGTGTTTTAAATATTGAGCCACATGGGATCCTTGCCTCTATTGTAACTAAAACCTCAACAAATACATTGCCATTGAGTCAGTCCTGACTCGTGTTACGTTAGGTGCCATCAAGTTGGTTCTGACCTATAGAGACCCTGTGCACAGCGGAATTAAACACTGCCCAGTCCTGCGCCATCCTCACCATTGTCCCTGTGCCCATTGTGACTCACAGCAACCCAATACAGGGTTTCTGAGGCTGTCCATCTTTGCAGGAGCAGACAGCCTCGTCATTCTTCTGAGCAGTGGCTGGTGGGTTTGAACAGCCGACTTTGCTTCCAGCAGTCTAATGCTTATTGCCTCTTTCGTAAGCGCTGTTCAGTGGAGCACGTTTATGTGCCTTCAGGAACCTGGAGGCCCTGTAGAGGGCCACTCCTGGTGGCTTTCAAGTCGTTTCTTTCCCACCCTATGAATTGAGGCTCTCCTTTGGGGCGGTGGTCAAGTCCCAGCGCTCCTAGCGTGCCTGACTGTTCAGTTCCTGTCCATAGCTCCCTTCTCTAGCGCCAGTGCTGGGAACAGAGCTACTTTGGGGTTTCTACCTACTGCCCCCTCCTCCCTCTCTCCCTGCGTCCTCAGTGTGCGGGCCTCACTGCCCTCCTGAGTGATGGGGCCCTGTCAGGAAAGCCCTGCTTACAGAGTTCTTAGTTGGAAGGAAAATGACTCAATCACCTTACTTTCTTTAGTCTCAGTGTTTAGCAAACCAACTATGTGACCAATGTGGCTTAACTCTTCCATTTAGAGATGCTCTCTCACGGGTTTAGGGCCTTGGATACGGCAAACAGGATGAAACACAAACTGAATGGGGGGGAGAAGGGCACGTTGTTAAGAAGATCAATGAGGGGGCTTAAATGCTCCTGGAAAACCCTATCATCTTTTAAGCCCACTTTCCCATGACCATTTTAAAGGCCCTGGTATTCTAGCTGAAAACCTCAGTGCCACACAGAGAGCGCCCTGGTGGCCTGTGACCGGCAGCACCCGAGTCTGGGGGCTGGAGAGTAGAGGCAGATAAAAAGACGGGTTTCTCTTGACACGTGTGCTCTCAAGTCTTCTTTAAAAGCTGCCCTGCAGTGCGGTCATCAAATAGCGCCTGCTTCACAAGCCTCCCGTCTGGAAACCATCTGTTTAGTAGCACTGCCTTTTCAGGCATTCTCAAATGACTGCTTTGATTCAAAACGTAACCCCCAGAGAGAAAATGGAAACACATATAGATCCGAAGATGATCATTTTCCCTTTAATTGAAGAAATGAACATTCTGAAATGTATTTGCTACAGGAAGGTGAGATTATCAGAGGAATACCATTCATATCCATGGAAGTGATAAAAAAGGGCTAATATCCCTTTTAAATATAATCATAAAATTGGTTGGGAAAAAAAAAGGGCAGCCTAGAAAGATGTATTACAGAAACTTTCTGCAACAAAAACGAGAAAATCTTTATGGAATGAAACCTGGAGGCTTGAATCTCAGAGAGGAAGACTGACTGCGAGCTCGTGCTCTGGAGAACAAGCAGTTGACAGCAGCTGGAGGACTGCTGGCTGTAAGTGTGGCCGTCATGGTGGTGGCTGGGCCATCCTGGTTCCCTGGGGCTCCAAGTGCATGGGGAGGTCATGGCTCCTGGATTCATCAGCAGATTGGGACCGTCAAAGTCAGTGTGGGGCAAACCACCACCCTCCCCCCACTTCAACACACACAAACTCAATGGCATGGTGGAAGAGTGGCTACTTGTTGGGCTGCTAACTGCAAGGTAGGCAGTTAGAAACCACCAGCTGCTCCACTGGAGAAAGATGAGGCTCTCATAAAGAGTTAGTTTGGAAGCCCACAGGGGCAGTTCTGCTCTGTTTTGTAGGATTACTATGGGTCAGCACTGACTGGATAGCAGCAAGTTTGGTTTGGGGAATGGCAGAGTGAGTTGGGCGGGGCATATGCACTGCACTCTCCATGATTCGACACTGATTCCATGGCAGGGAGTTTGCTTGGGTTTTGTCTCCACATGGTTCATTCATCAATCAGCCAAACAAGGTGTGTGTTCTCAGCTGTTCCTTTTTTACTTTTTTCATCTCTTCTGAATGGGGCCACATAATCTCCCCCTTCCAGCGAGAGTGAGTGGGCCATGAGCAGTGCTAAGGGGAGGGCTAAAACCGGTGCTGTTCTCTGCGCAGAGGGAAGTGGAAGAGGCAGCACAGATAAAATTCTGAAAGAAAAAAATGCCAACCAGAATCTTATTTCCAGCGAAATTATCCATCAAATATGAGAGAGAAGTAAGGGCATTTCCAGGTAGGGAAAAATTAAAGGAATTTGTAAAAACAAAAAGTATGAAGGGGAATTTTTTGGACAGAAGCAACAACAGCAGACATCAATCTGAGACCAACACATAAGTCAATTCAATCATCAAAGTAAAACAAACTGAAAACCAGAGTATTCAATCTGCAATGAAGAAAACAAAGACTTAAAAATAGGAAATCATGCACAATACTCTAATGGAGAGCAAGTTAAGTAGATCTCAAGAGATAACAGACTGATAAGTTTAGGAAGAAAGTAGTACATAATAAGGTAACCTCAAAGAAAATGGAAAAACCCTTTTAACATAAAAAAGGGAAATCACAGATACAGTCAACAGTAAACAGCATCGAAGAAGCGAAAAATGACAAGAACAGTGACAGACAATGAACTCAGCACAGGGAACGATTAGAAACAAGCACAAAACATACAAGCGACAGCAATAAATTAATTGCTGTAACTAACAACAACAGAGATTAATTAAATGCACCAGTCAAGAGGCAGAGAACAGCAGACTGAATAAGAAAAGAAGACCCATCAATAAGAGTGTTTACAAGAAGCCCATCTTAGACACAAAGGCGAAAACAAAGAAAAATCAAAGGATGGAAACAGATCACAGCACACTATTCCCGAAAGTGGAAACCACCTGAATGTCCACTGGTGGGAGAAGAGGCCCACAAACTCTGGTGTACACACACACACACACACACACACACACACACACACACACACACACACAGAATACTACCTATCGCTAGCTACAGAATAATAAGGAAGTTCAAACAGCTCGTGACATGGATGGATTTGGAAGACATGATGTTGAGTGAAGTTAGCCAATCACAAATACCGTAAGACTGCTGATATGAAAACACAATTAAGAATAGGTGTTCAGACCATACGATAGACTTTGATGGGCGCCAGGCGTGGGAGGGGAAGGGAGATAACAGACTAGAGCACGGGCTCCCACACTTATTTGAGCTTACCCTTCCCTTTCCAGAGGAAAAAGTACTTAGCCCTCCCCCAATCTGACAATGAAAAACTTCTGTAACCCCTCACACTCACTGCAACTGAGTCAGCGCTGACTCATCGTGACCCAGTGCGTTGTTTCTGAGACTGTTTATGGGAGTAGAAAGCCCAGTCTGTGTCTCAAGGAGCTGCTGGTGGCTTTAAACTGCTGACCATTCGGCTCAAACCACTGCACCACCAGGGCTCCTTTTTGTAACCATGGTTTGGGGTAAAGTGCAGGTAGCTGCTTTTGCAGGGCCCCTGGATCATTCCAGAACTCCTCCGGGAGCAGTGGCATACACTTTGGGAAACACTGGACTGGAGGGTTGCTAGGTGGTAGCTTGGGTGAAGGGAGATGGGGTGGGGGGGAATGGGGGGGAGAGGAATAAGACAAGCTATGGGGAGGGCTGATCAGATATCTGGATGTTTGATGCAAAAATGATGATCTGCTATATAAACTCACACCAAAGTCACACTAGAAAGTTAAAAATAAGTAGGCAAACAGACACCCATTTTTAGAAAACAAGATGCCTGACGCTAACTCAGGCAGTGAGTTCATGCTGGAGAGGACGGGATACCTTCTTTCCAGCACGGATGCAGGTGAGGTTTACTTCTGGCGTTGTACCAAATCAGCTGCCGGCAGCCATCATACGCACAGGAGTACTCGTCGTCCCCAATGCCGTAGCCTTCCTGGAGGGAGACAGGGCCCAGAAAGTTAGCAAGGCCCTGCCTGCTCTGATCTGGAAACACAGAGTGTATTTCCTATAACCACAAACCCGCAGCTGGGAGTCCAAGTTTGTTGGATGAAGGGAAGGTTTGTGGCTCATGGAAAACACCCAAATTATGCCCTGGGGGTCTGGTTCCAAGAAAGAGAAAACGATGTCATGCACAAATATTCGCGGTCTCTTCTGTGCCCTGCACACGTTAGTTTGTTTTATTATGTAATGCTCCTTAGTGGCATGAGGCTGGTGGACAAGAGCCCTGAGAGGTGGATGACTTTGCTCGAGGGCACAATTCTGAGCGAGCCAGGCCCAAGTGTGGATCTAAACCATTTGAACTCAAGATTGGTGCACCTCCCACGCCCCTGCTGCGGTGAGCACCTTCTTGGGCGTACTAGTCTTTGAAACACCAACATGCTCTAGGGCAGTGCTTCTCAACCTTCCTAATCTGCGACCCTTTCATGCAGTTCCTCATGCTGTGGGGACCCCCAACCATAACATTATTTTCGCCGCTACTTCATCACTGTAATTTTGCTACTGTTATGAATCAGGCGACCCCTGTGAATGGGTAGTTCAGCCCCCAAAGGGGACACGACCCACAGGTTGAGAACTGCTGCTCTAGAGGTTTTGAAGCTGAAGCCAAGAGAGAGGCTACAGTGGACATTTGATATCACTACCAATACCAGATGCCGTCAACGCACACAGACACCTGGATAGTTATCTGAGATCAGCTCCATTTGACCATCACACAGGCCCTTGGCAGGTCTGTTTTACTATGTATTGTATTCAATAATTCCATAAAATATAAGGGTAGAGGGCCTCTTTAGAAGTTATTTTGAATATTTATAAAGGAAGTAGTAATAGTATGCTCATTAGAAGTGAGGATGGTGAGATTCTGTCTCAACTACTTTGACAGGTGATCAGGAAAGGCTGGTTCCTGGAAAAAGACATCATGCTAGGGAGAGAGGGTCAGCAGAAAGGAGGAAGACTGTCCAAGAGTCAGACTGGCACAATGGCTGCCACAGTGGGCTCAAACATCACAACAGTTGTGAGGGTGGCACTGGGCTGAGCTGTGTTTTGTTGTGGGGGTCACTGTGAGTCAGTCAACTCGATGGCACCTGGTGACAACAACATGCAGATCAGACGTGGCTGTCTTCAGGACCAAGAGTGAAAAGTCTCAGTGAAGAAAGGGCCAAATCCAGGTGTGGGCCTTGATGGCAGCCTGCTTCTTCTGAGGATAACAACGCAGGAAGAGATAAGAATGAAGAACGAACGATTTGGACTGTGTTGCACTGAATTTAGATGACTGTTCTTCAAAGTGATGCTTCTGAATTAGCTGTAGCCATGCACTATTCAAGAGTAAAGTGCACTTGGCACCTAACTGACTTTACAGAGAGAAGAAACTCTGCAGCCTACTGGAGAGAATACCTGTGATTCCTTTCTAAAGCTTAGCAAGTCCGTAAAAGTATATCACCTAAAACCCATTAACATTTAGGCTTCACTCCCAGTCAACAAGAGTGGAAGATTACAAAATCTTCAACCATGCAATGTCTTCTATTCTTGGTCGGATTCCACAACAGAGCAGTTTTGTGGGACAAAGGAGAAACGTAATAATGTTGCTTCCATAGGTCTATGAAATAGGTTCCTCTATCAAGCACGATGCACTTTAAAAATCACTTGGAGCTTATACCACCTGAATGTGCTAGTCCCTCTTCCAGCCTATGCACATTTCCAGTGGGATTATCTTCAGCTTCCATTGACCGGGACAGATGAATGAGAGAACAGCCTAGCTCACTAGTTATCTGAGGTGATTAGTTTAACTGCTTGTGTCCAGTCATGCACATTTGAGTAATGGAAACACTAAGAAGAAACAAAAGAAAGCTTGCATGACTCGGGAAATCTTTGAACCCTTCCCACGGGCTAGGTATTACCCCCTTTTCTTCCTGTCAGCATCCCAACACCACCCCCCCCTTTTTATTTTGGGGGATGTACGAGATACTGTGTTCTGCCGCTTCCCACTCTTTATCGGGAGTGATAAGCTCTGACCCAAGTCCAGGCAACTGGACCCTCTGTCAGACCCTCAGTGTGGTGCAAATGACCCCACCGGGAGGGATGATCAGGCTGGGTTCATGGGGGCAGTGGTGGCTTCCCTGGTCAGACAATTCTCTCCAAACACTGGCTGGTGTACTTCCTGTCTCTCGTGGCCCTTGGGGGTTGCCTTGGAGCCCGTGGGGTTCTCCAGCCCCAGCACTGCCAAGCCATTCCTTCTGACGGCAGCTTTGCTCCAAGGTGGAATGCTTTAACAGCATGGGCTCTCCCGCTCTGGGTTCGAATTCTGCTCCAGCATGTGGAAACTAGAAGGCTTTGGGCAAGTTTCTTAATTAGCTTCTCTGAATCTCATTTTCTTCATCTTTATTTATTCATTTATTTATATTTTAATAAGTCATTTTATTGGGGCTCTTACAGCTCTTATAACAATTCATACATCCATGTTTCTTCATCTTTAAATGGGAGAAAAAAATAGCTTTCCAGACCCTCAAAAAGATTAGAGGCAATGTAGGTGAAAGATGCTCATGAAAAGTTAGATAAGCCAAAAGGCACCCACGAGAATGGCTACCACCAACCCTCGTAAAAATACACAGCAGACTAACAATACAAAGTACATGGTAGGTGAGTGGAACGAGAACTATTATTATTAAGTCTTGCATTTTAATTACCTGTCACTGAGCCCAGAAATCTGCCCATCCTTTCAAAACTGAAACCTACACAGTGAGAGCTAAAACAAGAGGCATGATGGAGGGACTTCCAATCTTCAGAAACTGGGTGTATCCCTGGAATGACCTGGTCTTTAAGACATCACCCCAATTACACAGGCAGAACAATTCAATGTCCCAGAACAATGTCTGTTTGAAAGCCAAGTGTGGCAACATCACCGAGCCTACATTCAGCAAACGTTCTATCATTAAAATACTATTTTAACCCTAGTATTTAGGAATCAGCTAGTATGTAGATTATGACAAATGTTTTCTTTTTATAGAAAGAAGTCAATAATTGATCAAGCAATTTGGGTGGCAGGAAAGCATTAGCCTCATAACATGAAGGTCTAGATCTAGGAATAAATGGCACAAAGTACACTTTCAGCTACCAAATCATGATGTCTCACGATTCGTCATCACTGGCCATCTCTATAAAGAGCCAATGTCTCAGATACACCCTGCCCAGTCCTGTAACATGTTGCTGCCAAACGGAGAATGACATTGTAAGTCATAGCTTCTTCCCTGGAGAAATTCCTACCTCTTCTAGTTTGGGACTAATTCTTCACTCCCAAATGACGAGACTAGCTAATCGCCGAGGCTCTCGCCACCTCCCAATGTGACAAAAACCGCTGTGATAGGACAGGAAGGGGGCTAAATTCTAGTCCTTGTGCCTTTACTTCCTCCTCCCAGTCTTGGCTCTCTCACTAGTGAAGCAGACGTTGACCAGTGAAAACTACCGTGGGAATCAGATGACAGAGAGACTGTAAATACAGATGTCCTGGAAATTGATTCTTTTTTTTAAAAGAAGTTCTTTAAAATTGTCTTTAGGACATGACTTGGGTGAGGCTGTCAGTCTAGCTGATAATGTTTCAAATCAGTGCTCATACTGGGAACAAGAGTCTGACTGGAATCCTCTCCAGTTTCTTCTCACAACAAAAGCCGGGGCTCCCAAGTTTTAATTAAAGGGCCCCATGGGGCTGGAGGCTCTGCGTCAGGCAAGGTTCCCAACAAAAGCAACAGTGACTAGGGCCCTGTCTGCCCTTTCCACTGGCCCTCCTCCTCCAATCGGACTCTCCAGTCGGGCCCTTCAGAAGGATGAGCAATCCCTGGGCTCAGTACAGCCTTGCCAAGGGTCCTGCCAAGAGCTGGGCGTAGGTCAGCCAAGTTAAGTCTGATTTTATTGGAGTACTTGTGAAACCCCTTTGCTCATGTGGGATGAGGGACTATTTAATTTTAGACTAACAAGGTAATCAAAGGGACTTTTTTTCCAGCTCAAAGGGTAAAAAATATCACGTCTAAAAAATATTCTGGATTGGATCTGGATTTACTTCCAAAGAGCTTATAACTTGGAGGCCAACAAATGACACACTGTGGGAAAAGGAGGCGCCCCAACTCCTCCCGCCCCAGCTGGCAGCAGCTCAGGGCTGCTCTTCCTTCCATCACAGACAGCGTTTCAGAACAAAAGAGAAATGCCAGGTGTAGAATACAAATGTGCCCACTAACTACAGGATAAAAATTAAGTAGGCCTAGGAGGGTTAGGGGAGAAAAGATAAAGCAAGAGGCTAGAGGATTGACAGATCATACCTGAGGTGACGTGGAAAATAACATCCACACTGGGGAGAAGGGAAATCAAGGGGTGGGGTGTGAGCTAAAAAGAGGGTCTGATTAGTAGTTTAAGCTGTGGAATACAAAATTAAAGATCTGAAATGTAAACTCCCTACCTAATTCACAATTTTTAAAATTTTTCAAAAAAATTAAGCAAGAGAATTTATTGCTTAGTATTTTATGAGTGGCAGAGAATTCCTATACAGCTTTTAAGTTTACCATAAACTATGAACAGAGCCAAAGACCGGAGCCCGTAGACAAAGGATGCATCCATCCAACTTCTGGGTCTTAGGACTCAGAGCAAAATAATGGCAATTACACCTGTCCTTTAAAGGATCCCTGGAAGTGCTGTGGGTTAGGCATGGGAGTTGCCTGGGTGTTGGTTCAAATCCACCAACTGCTCCATGGGAGAAAGAGGAGGCTGCCGGCTCCCGTAAAGATTCACCATCTTGGAAACCTGAGGGCTGCTGTCGCTTGGGACTGACTAAGACAGTGGTTTTGTTCTGTTTGTTTAACCTAATTCTGAATCAGTTGAGGAAACCACTTAAAGGTTATATAGCTCAGTCCAAGAAATGATTCCTGCACACACCTATTTGAAAAATAAGCATGCTTGAATAGCCACAACCCACCAACCTGCCAAGCACGCTGTGTCCGCCCCCATCCCCAGGCCCAGTGTACTCACATGATTGAGAAATTTGCTGTCTCTGGTGGCCCAGCCTATCTGCATGACACCAGAGGTGATCACTGTGACTTCGTAGTACCACACTCCGGCGTCCACACAGAAGGTGCAACGGACACTTTCAAAGGAGGAGGCATCACAGCGAGCCTGGAAAACCAAGGAGAGTGACAGTCCACATCAGCATCTGAAGGCACCAGGGCAGCAGACTGCTTGGAGCCTTCGAGAGGCCCAGTGTTCCCTCCTATGCCCACTCCTTCCGTGATTAAGAATGCCACACGAAATGAATGAGATGCTATGATTACCCTACGGCGTCATTTCTCGGGAGTCCTAGCATGACTGGTACCAGGATTACAAGGTCTCTTACAAGAAATGGATATAGAGGATTCAATAAAAACGACCAACTTCAATTTTACACCCTTACTGTCATATTACAGCCTTACTGTCATATTACAGCCTTGTACAAATGCCTCAACATGGTCTTAACCTGCACTTGGTATGATGGAGGATACTGAAGGATATAAGATGAGGTACCTATATAGTCTAATATATAGCAGGAAGCTATATAAGGGATTTAGCTATAGGCTTCTCAAACAGCACCGGAAGCCTGGAATGTCTGGGCCCAGTAGTACCTTCCTGGGCATGAAGAGCTCTTTTATTCACCTCCACCATAAACTTGAGTGACATCCCCAACTTTCGGGGAGGAGGGGAAGCCCTAGATGAACTTCAAGTGGTTATGCAGGTTAAAAAGATGAATGACCCCGAAGACTAGTGTATCTGCAGCTGAATAGAGAGATTAAAACCAGCTACATTTAAAGCACACGGTCTGTGAATAGCACGGTGCTTACTACCTATGCAGTGCCACATGGGATATGAAAAGAGTAGATTATTGTCCTGAAATACCCTCTCCCCCACCACTTCCATCCCTAACTACCTTCCCAGTATGAAAAACTTCCACCTAGGCTGTAAGAAGCTGCCTTGTTCAGAGCCAGGGGATAAAAATCATAGCAAAAAGATCCACCCTCCCTCTCCCGCAAGGACAGTGCAGGCGACCTTTACCTCTAAGCCATGAGGCGATATCTTCAGGTACTCGCTTACGTCGTTGCTGTTCAGCATAGCCCTGACGTTACTCAGGTCCACCTTTTCATAGGTCAGTTGCCTACCTTCTTTTAAAACTGCCAAAGAAAAGGTAGTCAGGTTTCTAAGGCAGGTGTCATTTCCAGCTGCCCTCCTAGTCCAGGCGTCGGGTGGTCATAAAGGGCAGATGTGGGGTGGCACAACCTTGGTTTGCTGCTCCACACCCATGTGAAAGCTGACCAAGGGAAGACCAGGAAAGGCAGGCCCACTGTGAGTGTCTTGTCCTAATGGTTACAGGTTTGCATGAAACAAAATCTGAACCAGGCTCTTTCCAAATTACTCTTTAACTGCCATTGCACAGGCTGTGGAGAAAGTTGCTTCCCACCTGGGATAGAGCAGGGCCTTACATGTCCCCTTCCCAGTGCTTTAGCGCCTAGCTGCGTTTCTAGAGCCCTTAGAGAAGTCCTAATGTAGCTTAGGTACGTGAGACATGCTCACAAAGGATTAGAGACAGAATGCTCTAGACTAAGCCTTAGTACAAGTCAGAAGAGGAGGAAAGGCAGGAGTGACCTGCATGGTGTGTGTAAGACATGGGCAGTGTTTTCACTACCAAAGTCAGGATTGGGAGAAGAGTGAGGGTCGGGGCCTGGCCCTGAGGTGGAATGACTGGGACCCCTCTGTAGGACTGTGAGGAGGCAGTCTGCACTGGCAGAGTTGGCTAGGCAGCACCATAGGACTGAGGAGCTGGATGGAGGCAGCAGGAACGAGGAGGAGAGTGCTGTCATCAAACGCACTGCACCTAATTCTTGTCTGACGGGTTCCAAGCATGCTTTTCCACTACAACATACACAGGCTTCCTAGTCTAGGGCTTTACAAGGAAGGGCAAAAGAAGACCAGCGGTTCTGTAAAAGCCAGGAGTTTGGAAATGGAAGCAGTCATTTTAAGAAAGGGCCGTGCCCACTTACAGAGATTGTCTAAGCTCCACTGGGCACAGAAACCCACTTGACGTTTCAGATAATCAGGATCATCAGCCCAGGACTCCAATGTGACAAGACGGTCACTAATACTGGATTTGGCAATGGTCAATTTGTTTTCACCTGTTGGGAGAGACATGCACCTTGAATTAACAAGAAAGGAGAGAGAGAATTTGTTTGGCAGACTAGCGATGGCGAGGTGAGGGGATGCACTTAGAGACTACAATGGACTGGGGATCTTGTCTAGGACTAGCACAGCCCCAAAGAGCTTTTGCTGTGTTGCAGGAAGTGGCAACCCCATCACTATGGTAATCAGGGTCGCCACGCTCTGATTATTGTCAACATTTGGCCCTTGTTCCTGTTCCATCTCACTGGCCTGGAAGTGGCTCCCCAGACAAAGCAGAATGTATGTACAGGGCTCCAAGGCTCATCCAGCAACGGAGAAACACAGGATGTGAGCAGGAGGACAGATGCTCATCAGTGCACGAAGCCGGTATACCTACTTGTCTGTGCAAACTTCTCCAGGGCGATGAGAGCAAAGAGCATGGCGGTGGGGTGGGGCTGCAGCTTCTGAAAGACAGCAAGCACAGGGGGCGTCACTGCTCCGCAGACGCAGCACGCGGCCACTCACATCTTCTTGCCCAACAGAGGTACATTACTCTTACTGAGCAGTCGGGAAAGTTTTGCTCATTTGAAGTCCTACTTATCCATTTGGCTAGTATTGTTAGTAACGAAGAACCAAGGTGGTGTCTCTCAATCTTATTATTACTTTTTTTAAATGAAATCATTGGATTAGTTTATAGAGATGTAAATTTCAAAAGATTTTTATTTAAAGATCATTTTATTGGGGGCTCTTACAGCTCTTATAACAATCCATACATCAGCTGTATTAAGCACATCTATACATGTTGCCATCATTCTTTTCTAGGCATTTACTTTCTATTTGAGCCCTTGGTATCTAGCCCTTCTTTTCCCCCTCCCCCTCATAGCCCCTTGACAAATGACAAATGATTAATATTTTCATATCTTACACTGACTATTGTCTCTCTTCCCCCAAGGTTTCTGTTGTTCGTCCCTTCAAAAGTATTTTTGTTAAAGTGCACTATGGTTTCTTACGTAGTAACATACAAAGTTAAAGTTTATTTAGTCAATGTTATTACATTGATTCTTACATTCATTTTAAGCAAGTCAAAAGGTAAAGTAACTTTTTATTCAGAATGCTAAGAAAAACCCCAGTTTCAAAATTGCAAATACAATTAACAAGAATGGCTGAGTTTTCCGTCTGTTCCCTGAGAGGTATTCTATCTACAAATGGTGGTGGTGGTGGGTGGGAGAGAGCAAGTGGGCCCATTTAGTTCACGTGAGATGGGTTCACTTAGAGAAAGGTCTAGCTGCTGAACTGAACATCACATGCTTCTCACAAGTACCCTTTCCCACAGCTACATGGCGGACCTCCAGCAGAGCTCCAGGAACTCCGGGTGATTCCTACTCATGTCCCTGCGCCCAACGAAGTTCTGCACAGCTCCCACGTCACCATGTTCCCTGGCTGCAAAGTCTATTCAACATCCTCTCTCTGGCCCGAACCATTCTCCACCCTCTGCCTGGCCCGTCTGGCCCTGAACTCCCTCTTACCTGCCCTCCTACCCCGCAACACTTTTTTCTGAGGAGAACATTCTTGAAATATGGGCATTTCTCGATGGGCTTCTGCCTCTGGGGTGCTCGGGCCTCACTCAGGAATTCCGACTCAGAAGAATTCTCTATAGGACAGAGAAGAACTGCCCCTTTCTAAGGGGTGTCTAAGTCCACATCTTTATGGGGGCAGAAAACCTCATCTTTCTCCTGCCCTTAGTCCTGTGCAGAGTCAAGTCTTAACCGTGTGGCCAGGCCCCGCTGAGGTCCCCCTTCATCAGAAGGCTCTCCTGACTGTCACAGCACACCCTCTTCACCGCCTCACAGACCCTGTAGGGCTGGGACGGAAGGAAGCCTCGGGCTACACTGTGTCAGAAAATGGAGGCCAACTGTTTTGTCTGAGTAGTTTTCTCCCCTCAACTAACCAGGACATCTCTTAAGGGCAAAGGACTGCTTTTCAAGTTCTATATCCGTAAGATGCTTAGCATCATGTTGTTTTAGCACATACCATATTAAACCAAACCCACAGAGCCACGCACACACACAAAATGCATGGCCACTGGGTTGATTCCCACTTATAGCGACCCTCTAGAGCAGTGGTTCTCAACCTGTGAGTTGAAAGGGTCAAACGACCCTTTCAAAGGGGTTGCCAAATTCATAACAGTAGCAAAATTACAGTGATTAAGTAGCAACGAAAGAAATTTTATGGTTGCGGGGTCACCAGAACATGAAGAGCTGTATTAAGGGTCACGGCATTAGGAAGGTTGAGAACCACTGCTCTAGAGGGTTTCCAAGGATGTAAATCTTAACGGGAGCAGGCAGCTTCTACAGCGCTCTTAAGGAGCGGCTGGTGGGTTTGAACCAGCTGCCTTGCGGTTAGAGGCCAAGCGCTGAGCTGACTGCACCCCCAGGGCTCCTTGCACATTTCACATCGGTAATACAAAATAGGGTCTTCCAGAGCTGAGTCTTGAAAAGACTCTTCCTCTTATTTTACTGCCATCGATTTGAATCCAACACGTAGCTACCTTATAGGACAGTGTAAAACTGCCCCTGTGGGTTTCCAAGACTGTAACTCTTTATAGGAGTAGAAAGAAAGCCTCATCTTTCTCCCTCAGAGAGTTTGGTGGTTTCGAACTGCTGACTCTGTGGTTAGGAGCCCTACAAATAATCCACTACTCCACCAGGGCTCCTCACTGCTCACTTGAGAACATAAAACGCAGAGCAGTCAGGGCTCCCGGCTGGCAGTGTGCGAGAGCAGGAGTGGTACAGGCTGCAGTGCACCCTCGGTGCTCGCAGGTGGAAGGGCAGCCAGGGAGTGGGGGCGGAGGGAGGTGCAGAAGTTTGTACACACCAGGAATCTGATGGTCTCTTGGCTCGGAATGCCATGCAATGTTTCCACTGTGGTGGTCCCTGCTAATATTTGGCAGACATATGGACACACCAAAGAGCCAATCACAGTAGTTTAGCTTATGGCTAAATTTAAAACCAGACCAATGCAATTGTTTTTGCTGGTAAGAATTCCTATCACACCCACATTTTTTTCTCTCTCTCTTAACTTGGAAATAAATAAAGCCTCAGGAAACACCTGGAAATAAAATTTATGACTGATTCCATTGTCTGTGCCAGAGGCAATGCTGGCAATTTGAGAAAGTGCACCATTCTAGATGACTAAGACTTGATGCCTCACTTACCAGACACTGTAGCAAGTATTCCAGGATTCCTGGGCTAAGTAAACCTATACTTGCAGGACCTACATGAACAGAATAAACATCGGAGAGAATTAAATACGCCACGTTGTTATTACTAAGCAGTAACTAGTGGGAAGTTTGGTAGAAACCGTACATTTTCACAAAGTCCTCTTGTGCACATTACCTCATGCATCCCCCACCCACTGAGGGAGCAGCGCACACGCCCCTCACTTCACAGCCTAAGGACTGAGCTCACAGAGCACGTAGCAGTCTGAACCCTCACCCCTGGATTCTGATTTCAGATCCATTGCTTCTTCCACGAAGCACGCTGGAACTAGCTGTGCATTTCACCTTGTACCCGGATGCTAACTTTCCTAAGACGGGTCATATTCACAGACGTGCTATACAATGGCTTCTCAGGAATGCTTCCCATCTCAAGTTCACTCTCCTCTTTTCCTGCCTTCCTGATTTAGCCAAGCTGTATAAAGCACGTGTATCCATCTTCATTTGTTATAATGAGTTTAGCTCCTCCTTTTAATTTTAAAGTAATAAGTAAAACGAGTTTTCTTCCAAATTTCCCTCAGAGGAGTCACAAAGATAAATTATATTGCATTCACCTCTAAAGCTTTTGAGCCAACTTTTTTCCCCCTTCCCCGGCCAGTTTTTGTTCCTCAATTGTACTTTAAGATACTTGTTTTGGGTTCACAGATTTGATCACAGACCTGCAGAACCACTTTCCCCTCAATACCAGATGATGTAAGATCCTTGCGGAGCTTCTCACAGTTACCTGCTAGCTTCTCAGCCAAGCAACCTAGGACTGCAGACGTGTTCCTGTGTTTTGCAGGATGGCCTGGGTCCTGACAGGCTACGTCTCCATTTAAATTGAGGATTTCAGTCAATTTCTGGAGTGCATCCTGAAAACAAGAATGTACAAGGGGATTTGATAAATATATTACTCAGTTTTACTGCAAGATTATTCTGAGATAAAAGTTGTAACCACGTGTTAAATGAACTTGAAGTGACCACTCAAAAGGCCCTACCCGTTGACGGGAATATCATTTGAACAATCTGAAAGTTATCGTACATGAACCGATAGATCTTACTCATTAAAAAAAGTGTATCAGTTGCACAACAGGGACCGAGGCTGTGTATGTGCAACCTAACATCTCACGGGGCTTCATTTCTCATTTGACAGCTCAGGGTCGTGGTTTCATGGGACACCCAGTGAACTGGCCTAATAACATGTTTAGTGCTTCTGGTTTCCACTATGGAATGTGTGTGTGGCTAATTGCATCCAGGAAGACAATGGCCTCCTATGTCAGGAGACCAGAAAAACTGGGTCATTCCACTCTACTATTCCTGACCATTTCAATCATAGATTGCACAGAAAAATCCTGATCAAGAAGGGGGAAATACAAAACAAAATTTCAAGTTCTCATAGATTCTAGGCTTTCTGGAGCCACTGTCACCTGAAATTCAGGCATTTTACTCTGGAGTGGTGCAGCCAATTCACTCCCTCCAGCTTAGAGGAATAAACAGAACTTTAAAAAAGTTATTTTAAAATAATTTTCACCAAGTGTAAACAAATGTTAGTGATGTTTTATAAGAAAACCACACCAGAAACCTCTTATTAGCCCAAATACAGGTCAACTTATCAAAGACTCAACCAAAGACTTTTTCCTTTGCCCATGTCTGTTCCCATGCTGGGCATAACTGTCTGAGGCTTAAACAGACAAATGGAAGATGCCAGAATAAAAAAAAAAAAGATTCAGTATTTTACATGGACTAAGTCAACGAAAGTTTGATGCTTTTGTTTTATATACGAGAAACCAAAGTTATATACTCTTGAATATGTTTGAAAAAAGCTAAAAAAACACACTTAGTGCAATAGTTTTTCCTCTGAATAGAAAGTTTCAACAACTTTGTTACGTATGTGGAAATCGCTTAAAGAAAGATGAGAATATCAACTCAGCGGCTGAACATTCTGTTTGAGTTCCGGAGCAGAGATTGCCCTTCCAGATAGACATGCCGCCACTTTGGACATGCTTCCAGTGTAAGCTAAAGTCTTACAAAAAGCAGTTTACAGAAAGAGGATGTGGCACTTTAACAGCAATAAAAAGCAAACTATAACATGAAATTAATGCTGAATAAAGCCAACCTCAAATGCATAGAGATGCAACACATCCAATGTTTTTTGTGACCGCTCCTCCTAGGTTTAGGCATAGATGATAGCTTCATAGAAAATAAGTATTTACTTACTTTAGTGGGCAAAGGACATTCATCTAGTAACAACGTAATAACAGCTGGTCCTAATGGGTCTTCCAACGGAATAACTCTAATTAAAGACTGGACAACATCTAACCATCCTTCATCTACAAGTAAATCAAGAAGATTAGATGACTGAGCTACTATTTTAAAGTTGTAAAAACATATAAAAACTTATAAAATCATGCAAGACTAATGCACATTAAAATATAAACACTTTTGGCCATCATACTGCGGCCATTAAAACTCCAATCAAAGCAAATCCATTGTTGTTGAGCTGATTTCGACTCATAGTCAGTCGCCCTACTAGACAGAGCAGAGTTGACCCACAGGGCTTCTGAGAAGGTAAATCTTAACAAAAGCAGACTGCCCTCTTTTCTCTTGTGAGTTGCTGATGGTTAGCAGGCATGCACTCAGACCCTGTGCCACCAGGGGTCCTCCTTAGAGCTGTTAGGCAGCTGATATTTGGTCTGGACAAAATCATCATGTGACGACTAGTTATCATGATAGGGTCAACACATCCTAATTTACAAAAGCTCTGGTGATTCCTGGGATCTTCAGCAGGAGAAAGTTTAGGCTACGGTCTTAGTCTCAAATTATGACTAAAATAGTTTTAAGCATCTTATTTACTACACAAGAATTAACAGAGAAATATACTAAGCAGTTGGCTCTCTTTCAGAAGGATGTTTAGGGAATTGAAGGAGTAAAAAAATCTTCCCTATTCTAGCTAAGACCTCTGGTGTGGCACTGTGGGTTAGACATTGGGCCTGCTAGCTGTAAGGCTAGTAGTTCAAACCCACTAGCAGCTCTGTGGGTGAAAGATGAGGCTGTCTACTCTCATAAACATTGATAGTCTTGGAAATCTCATATAGGGTTGCTATGAGTCAGAACTGATGGCAGTGGGTTTAGTTATTCTTGCACAGTTATGATCAAAGGTTTGTCAATTACAAAATTAAAATAACATTTGACTAATTCTAAGTGAGATAAAAACATCACTGAAAGGTACAGTTCATATTTATGGTGCGATAGTGTTTATTAATACTATCTAGTGAGGGTTTTTCCTTTATTGTATGTGCTACGTATCTGGGACCTTTTGGGTTGGGTGTGAAGCACGCCATGACAGGGCTAAGGATGCGGAAAAAGTGTGCTCTATAAATTAAATCTCGAACTCTGTGGTTTCTCTGGGTGAAAAGACAACTCTGAGTTTGGACTGTCTCATATAAGAGACTGAAAAGTCCCCCAAACCTGAACGTCCACTAGGTTTCTAGGTATACCCACCAGCAGAAAATACAGGGAGGACGAGGGCATGAGAGCCATTTAAAAAGACCTGTTTTAGCCCATATTGCATATTTCAAAGTATGTAACCAGTAACGTTTAATCTGATGTCTAATCTGGACAAACACAAATGATGGCAGCATTTCTTCATAATCATTAATCCACAAGAAAACTGAAAGAAAACAAAATACCTGTTTCTGCCATTTCGTGCAATGTAATCATTGAGTAGGGAGGTTCCTGATCACTGGAAAACAAACATTCAAGGAGTCAGACTTGAGGAAACAATCAATGGCAATCCCAAATTAGATTTTAAACTGGAAGTGCAGGGTTCGAGATGATCATGAACTGAGGGGGTGGGATGGAGCTCCATGTATACACTGTGTGCGCTCATGTCCCAAGGTCCCTGTCTGTGATGGTCCACAAAGGGGATGGGCAATGTTGATGCAGATGGGCAGCCATGGGGTCTGAGGGCAGAGCACAGGGCTAAGCTGGAGGCCAGGCCGATGCTCTGCTTTCCAGTTGAGACACACTTACTTTCACACCAGGACAAAGAATCCCAACTGCAGGCTCGTGGAAGCACCAGCCTACCTAAACGTTTTCCCTTTTAAATTTTCTTCTGGAAAATATTCCTACAGCCTGAAACTTCACTAAAACGGTGTTAGAAGAAACACAATGCACCATAATTGGATGAGTTAACATTTTAGGTGTTGCTTTAAAATGGCATTACCTCTCTTCATTCTGGAGAATATAATTCTGGCAATAATGACATGACGCTGGCATATACCCCCAGGGCCAGGGAAAGTTTACACGGGCCATTGAAGAGACACATGGAGCGGTGTTCGCTGGTCTTTGTGGGAACACAATTTTGGATGCAATCTAAGTGACCATCTCCCCACATGGAAGGATAACAAAATGCTGTACATTCAAGGACACAAATGAATACTCTCTTAGTCAGAATGTCAATCTAGATAGAGTAATAAAATGGCGAGAGAAGTTAAAAGCAGAGAGAGATATAAAACTATATCAATTATGAAAATTTTTAAATCAGACACAAAACCCTACATATATAGTTTTCCTGTACAGACACAAACACACACATGGCAGACAGATTGGAAGACGTATCTTACATGCACCAGGAGGGTTACCTATTGATCTTCAGAGCTAAGTGGTAGAGAGAGCAGGATTAGTGAAGAGGAAAAATAATGTTCTATGACAGAGTCGACAACCCATCAGAAACACGGGTTCCTACATTCCATACAGAAATGTTTCACACACCCACACACATGCAAGCACGTGCGCAGGCCCCTGTACTCAACATAAACTCATTTGTAGAACAGAGAGGTGGAGGCAGGAGTTACAGCTATGGGACAACGAAGCTTTGAGCAGAGACTGAGCAGAGGTGACTGGGAGTCCTATGACCAGGTAGTGACGCCCAAACCATCTGAGCTCAGGAAGGAGCCACATTCAACCAATGAGACAGTGGGAAAGGAGCAGGACAGAGGTTCTAAATATTGAACTGAGCTACAACTGGTTTCAGGAGTGACAGGGCAGGGCAGTGACAGGGCAGGGCCATGCCGTGAGGTCTAGCCTTTTCACAGAAAGAGGGGACCCTGAGCCACCAACTGCAGATTTGGTCAGAGACAGAGGGGCACGGGGACCCAGAGGGTGACAAACAAGGTGGCATGCGTAGGGAGGAGGGAAAGCAAGAGTGGGCAAGAGGGCAGGCGAGAGCAATGAAAGGAGCACTGTGCAAGTGAGAGAAAAAATGTCTACCCGGAGGGATGGGGAGAGTACATGACATTAAGAAAAGCCGGGCGGTAAAATCAATCCCGAGACTCTGCAACCAATAGTACTTCCAAGTGAGTTTGCAGAAGTACAGCTGACCCTAGCCGTGGAGTGCGCTGGGTCCGCAAACACTGACTTAGTGGGCAGTGAACCACTGTTCTGGGGACAATCCGGGGAGGGCCCTGAGGGCATCGCACTGGCGTCTAATCGATGCACCACCTATCTGGCTGCAGAAGCGTTTTTTGCACACTTAATGCACCTTTTGCACACTAAAGACCTTACTTAATGCACTAAGGGCCCTATAACTCATGCCGCGAAGGAGATGTGTCTCTCACGTTTTCTCCTTCTGGCACGTCACAGCCTTCTCCAACTTAGAAACACACACGGGAAAGCACGTTTGCATTATGCGTGGGGCTGTTTTAATGACAGATCGCCAACAAACGGCACGGAGATTCAAAAACAGAGGCACTGAGTAAACTGACAGAGGACCCCTGTTTACACTGTGAGGGCAGGACAAGAAGCAGGGCACCACACCGGGCAGCCTTCGTTGAGACCAGTGTGCGGGTCGGCTCTAGTCTTGCGCTGCTCTCTGCGCTCTGAATGATGGTGAAGTGCTGAGTGCTGACTGTGGGGTGATGGGTTGTAAATAGTGTAAACAGTGAGGCCTGATGGTCTATTAAAGATTCTCAGGTATAAAAAACAACTGTAAGAAACAAAGACAGATGGGAATCAAACAAAGATTGAAACAGCTCACTAGATGGCCCAACTCAGATGGGCCACAGTTGGACAGAAAATAAATGAATTGGAGGAGAGTTCTGAGAAATTCACTCAAAAATTAACAGAAGCAATATTCGGAGAGAGAAATTATGGCTCAGAAGTTCCCACAACTTCAGAAGGAAGGGTTACAAATAGACCACAACAACACAGAGCACAATGCTTTGTTGAGTTGGGAGAGAAAAAGGACGCATGCTCTAACAGCAGGCTGTAAATAGGCACCTATTTCAAAACCAACGCATGGAAAACTAGAAATCCACACCACAGAATTCTTTCCTACAGCACCTGCGCTCACCGGGCATTGCTAACTGTGCTCTGCTCAGATCAACGTCTTCCTTTCCAAGTAAACAAGTAGAGAGGCGAAGACAACAAAGATCATTTGTAACTGAGAGCTGTGTACACCACTGTAGGGGGTAAGTCTTACTACATCCTCCACTTCAATAATTTTCCTGGCTGGGTTTTAATAGCCATAGGAATTTTACAAGTTACAAGATTCTTCCCCTTTAATAGCTTCCTAATAACACGTTACCTTTCTATGTTTATAAGTGGTCTTAACTTGGTCTGGTCACCATCTTCTCTAACGTGCCTTTTCCCCACTTGCGGTATACCTGCTCTAAGAGTTAAATCTAAATTCAGGAAACATTGGTTTACACTAAAAGCCACCTGATTTTCAAATGTTTATCACATAAATGAATTACGGGCTTTATCAACACATTCATGTATAACATGTCATCTTTTCCTGAATTCTGGAAAAAATACTACCTTCTCTACCCGCCCACCCCCCCACCCCCACCCCCAGGCCCTGCCCCCTGCCACCACTTCCTTAATCATTTTCTTTTGAAGTATAGCAAGGTTTATTCTGCACCTGTTTTTCCAAAGAGCTCAAATTAACATTGCCTGTGGATTACTTCCTTATGTGGGAAGAACGACGTTTGATTTTTCAGTATGAGGAATAGTGTTTTGGTTTTTTCCTTCAATATCACTGTCCTTGAAGGTCAGTACAAGATCCGGTATTGATGGCTAAGAATCACATAGTTTGTGTGGTTCATTTTTAAAATGTTCACATTAAGAAGCTGTATATGACAATGTCCAGAGCCTTGGTGGGGTTGGGAACATTAATGACATCCTTAGGATTCAATACATACTTCCTACAAGTAAATCAACAAACACATACACAGCCTGTTGCTGTCAATTCTGACTCACAGTGAGGCTATATTAAATTTAATTAATTCAGATTCCAGAACATCATCAAAGTTGACTTTAATAAATTTAGGAAGAACTTTCTGAATCAATTTTGGAAACATTTGATGGGACTACCATTCCCAAGTATGTCCCACAGCAGATTCAACTTGTGTGTAATAGTAACGACCCCCCCCACACACACACACACACTTGTATGATCATCTGCAAGGGTACACCCTGCTTTATACTATAGTTTTTGAGTAGCTGAACAAAACTGGTTTTACTGAAAGCTCTCTGTTGATGTGATGGACTAACCTGGGCTGCTAACCTCCAGGTCAATGGTTCAAACCCACCAGCTGTTAAAGACTTACATTCTCAGTAGGTTGTTATGAGTCAGAATCAACTCTATGGCAGGGTGTTTTTAACTATCTACTGAGCAATTGTAATTTGCAAATTGTTATGTGTTAACAAGAAAATGAATGACTTCGAGATAAATCTACAAAGAGTAACTGGACTAATAATTACTTAGGAGCATGGCAGGAGTGGATAAGAGAAAAAGGGGAGCTAACAAAGAGTATGAGAAGAAAATGTTCTGAAATTGATTGTGGGACAATGATTGCATAATTCTTCTTAATATGAATAAACAATTGCATGATATGTACAGTGTACGCCAATACAGCGATTTCTAAAAGAGAACAAATGACTTCAGTGTCCCAATTAATACAATTAATTAAAAATTAATAAATTGGAAGACATTGTTACAGGTAAGACACTGCCATCAATGCTTTGTATATGTTACTGCATAACAAGCCCTGAATGAAAAGCCTTGTTTTACAGATGAGGAAGCTGAAGCCCAGAAAAGTAACTGACCCAATGTCATGCAGCTGGGCCAGAATTTGAACCTGGGTCCCTCATGGTTTTAAAACTTGTGATGTTTACTACTAAACCATACAAACGTAAGATCTTCTTTTTTTCAACTTGAACAATGCCCTTTAATTATACTGTTATTCAATCTGAGATTTTTGTACTTAAGAGTTAGACAAAGCAGGGAAAATTAAACAGGCCCAGGTGTGTTCCTTGCAGCTTCAATTTACAAACTTTCTAAATGGACCTGCCCAGGCCCAGCCAAGGCTGCAGAAGCCTGAGAATGGAAACTCTCCTAGGCCTTGTCTTCAGGTTGCCAATAGAAGTTGTGTCAGCCATGCACACACGCACTCCTTCACCAATCCACGCTGCACAGCTGACCACAGAACAGACAGGCACGCACAAGGCAGTGAGTCCTCACACCACTGTCTCCTATGCAGCTGGCTAAGACTCTTGGCCCCATTTGTTTTTTTAAACCATTGCCTCTAATGAAGATTTTAGTAGTTAGTATGCTCTGCAACATAAATGTTTAGAACTTTCCAGACAGGAGTGGATGTTAGCAGTGAAAACATCAAACCTTATCATTTACTCTGCCATCGGAGCACGAGGAGGCAGCATCAAGCAGGCTCGGTAAACATAACCCTGGCTCCTGGCAGCAGCCTTCCCCTCACACAGCAGGTGACGGTGAGTCACATACTTACTTATCTACAAGGGTTCGTATCACTGCCAGTGTGTCCAGCACCAGCCCATCCACGTTTTGTTTCTTTCTCCTCGGCTCATGTGGTCCTCGGCCCCTCCGTGGTGGCCGAACAGGGTCCCGGGGGTGGCTTCTTGAGTCAGCCGTAGGTACTGCGCTGTGCTCAGACTGCTGCTGTTGGTTATCAACATTGTCTTCTGCTCCACTGTCGTCTCGGCAGATACAGGAATTGCCCATGGTCAAGGTGCCTCTCGTTCCCAGGAGGTGGGCGATGTGTTCCTCAAGAGTCACCAGCAGACCCTGGCCAAGGCTTCTGCTCGCTAAGAACACGGCCCAACCAAAGACAATCATTTAGATAGTTTTCAGTTTTCCAAGTACCATTTTCATAATCTGGAGCGGGAAAACTTTCATCCTATTGGTTTTTAGAAACGGAACCACAAAGCACGCTGCAAAGCTGTTATCCAACATTATCAACTACACGGGGGCCTGGTCATCCAGTGACCGTTCTACAAGAGAGAGAGAGAGAGGGAGAAACATGGATGAACTGAAGACTCTTGTCCACTTAATTACTCAAACTTTACCAGGCTCATTTGATAAATTACAGATTACAATGAAGAATCATCCTTGGTAATTTTACAGGTTTCTAACACAAAGAGGTGTCTTTGGATAACAAAATAGCAATCAATCAGTTCCTTTTATCATTATATTCTAAAATATAATAATAAACCATATTCTTGTTAAGAACCACAAATGTTACAACTGATTTTTTAAAACCTATGTTGTATAGTTTTTCCCATGTATACACAAATGCATCAGAAGAACATGTGCAATTTTTTCAAGGACTCCTTTTGTGAAATATATATGTATACAAACTGCCTCTTTTTAATTCAAACATCTAAGAAAAATGTACTATGTTTCAAATAAAGTCATTACAATTGTGGGTTGTTTAAAAGTTCTGTAGATCGCTTCTTGGACTTTTGGCTAAAGATCAAGTGTAGTAAAAGTTCTGATAGAAATATGCTAACATCTGTTTGCTATCAAGAACACAAGGAAAGAGTGGATTAGAGATGCTCACAAATTGACAGAAATCATACGATTGACTACAAAGGTTTTCTTGTTATGTGACCAAGACTCTTGTGTTGAGAAAGGTTACATTTTTACAATGATCCGTTTGTTGGCAAGCACATCTGCTACAAAGTTAAGAATAAGGATGCAACCGTTATCTTTGCAAATCCTGACTAAGACCTAGTGCAGGGCACCACTGCCTGACCTGGCCAGGAGAATCAAGTGCGCCAGGCAAAGTTCCTGTTCTCCAGGCACTCAAGGGCCGCCACCTCATCTCAACAAAACATTTATCATCAAAATTCCTGATCCTAGGAGCAGCTCTTCATTAAGCTGGGCAAGCCTGGTTAGGTTCTGGAAGAGTAAAAGTCTTGGAAGCAGGCCTGGTAATGACAGTCCCTACTCAACATTTGGCTGTTACAATTGATGTCTGAAGTACTGAGCACTGGCTCAGGAATGGGTATAAATAAAATTGTAATGCATTAGGATTAGCAGCAAGAAAAATATTGTATCCATTCTTCTGGCCAGATTTGCAGCAAATTCTTTTCAGTACTTGCCCAGTTAAATCATTGCTCCTAGGGCAAAAACAGAAGACGGTTATGAAGATAGGCAGAGTTGCACATATAATATCTAATTTGTCAGGAGGGTGGGGGTGGGAAGGGGACAAGAAGCCAGAGGGGAGGCGGGGAGAGGGAGAGAGAAAAGGCAGCAACAGAGAGGGAAGACAGCCGATAGGCACAACCGCCCGTCCTCCAGAGCCGACAAGACAGCCATGGCAGAGCCAAGTCAAGCCACAGACACTCTCACTGCTCCGAATCAGTCAGGTTGGCTGCAAAATTTGGAGGCTGTATTTGAAAAGATGTGACTACAATATCGGCAAGAGCCGTCAGGACTCAGCTGGAAATAGCTTTTTCAAGGAGCACACTTTCTACCCAGCCAAGAGTCAAAGTTCTGCCATTCCCATTAATGCAGAGGACAGAGCACAAAAAATTTCAATCTTCACAGCACAGAGGAGGCAGAATTCAGAGATGGCGCCTTTTCAGGGTCCCTGCCATACGTGTCTATGGGTCTATCAGGAAGAGCTCTGCTCGGGCCCTTTTCACAGTAAGTCCCCAGTGTCCTTGCACACTGTACCCCAGGTCTTGGCAGCTTCAGCACCGAGTGGGAGCCTCCTTGGTCTGCCACTAGTGCCCATCCTTGGAATCCCCTCCCTGCCCACCCCCCCCACCCCCCCGACAACAATATTAAAATTGGCTGACCTGATGACCAGGACAACAGCAACAACTGAAGGCACACTGACTTTAAGGACACGGGTGCTGGGCAAGTCCACAGCATGTGGGTGGTGCAAAGGAAAGCCCCTCTTTTACTGAGTTCCACTGCCTTTCCAGAGATAACCCATTAGAGCAGTGATTCTCAGCCTTCCCAGTGCCACAACCCTTTCATACAGTTCCTCATGTTGTGGTGGCGAGAACCACAAAATTATTTTTGTTGCTACTTCATCATTGTCATTTTGCTGCTGTTATATCATATCTTGCACTGTCCGACATCTCCCTTCACCCACTTTTCTGTTGTCCGCCCCCAGGAAGAAGGTTACATGTAGATCTCTGTAATCGGTGCCCCCTTTCCACCCCACCCCACCCTCCCACCACCCTCCCGGTATCGCCACTCTCACCACTGGTCCTGAAGGAATCATCCGTCCTGGATTCCCTGTGTTTCCAGTTCCTGTCTGTACCAGTGTACACCCTCTGTTCTAGCCAGATTTGTAAGGTGGAATTGGGATCATGATAGTGGGGGAGGAGGAAGCATTTAGGAACTAGAGGAAAGTTGCATGTTTCATCGTTGCTACACTGCACCCTGACTGGCTTCTCTCCTCCCTGCGACCCCAAAGGGTAATAATTTTGATAGAAAAATTTAAAAACTGAAAATTGCTATGTTGACCATTTTTTTCTCCTATCACGACAATGTACTTGTTTATTCTTGGAGGGTAGAAGGGCTGTCCTATAAGAATTCCATTGACCCTACAGCCCTGATCATGCCCCTCAGACATCTTTTTTTGTTCCCAAACCTCAAAGCACATTGAAAGTAAACACAAACAAGGAAAAGAAAAGGAACCCAATACAAATCCTTCAAAGACGCCAACACGGCCATTTTGGTGTCAATTGATGAGCGGCAGAAATCTTTGGAGAAGGATTAGAGCAATGGAAACAACAACTTTAGAAATGTATAGACCTATAACAGACAGACCTGGAACTGTTTATAGGTCTGGGGGAGAGGAGAAGGTGTGGGAAAGGAATTGGAAGCCAACAAACCCAGGGACAAGGGAATAACAAGTGATCTAAAATTGATGGTGAGGAGGTCGTAGAATGCCTGGGGGGAGGTGGGGGGGGTTGATCATGTGCAATGTAGCCCAGAGGAACTACTGAAAGCCAAGGGAAGGTCAAACATATAGTGGGACAAGAGGAAAGTAAAAGAAAATAGAGGAATGAACTGGGAGGCAAAGGACATTTATAGAGGTATGCATACAGGCCTGTACATATGTAAATATATTTATATATAACAATGGAGACATAGATCTACGTAATTATATTTATATGTTAAGTATTAAGATAGCAGATGGACATTGGGACTCTACTCAAGTATTCCCTCAATCCAAGAACTTGTTCTAAAAACCTGGCATTCCGTGATGCTCACCTTCCCAACACAATCGCTGAAGATAAAATGGGTACATAAGCAAATGTGAAGAAAACTGATGGTGCCCAGCTATTACAAGAT